AAACGCGTATCTGTCAATTGTAAAATGCTTAGTTCCCGCTATACAGGGTGTTGAAATTTCGAAAAATAATTGTTCCATCTACAATAACTCGAGAATCCAAATTACATTTTTTTTTGCTAAAGTTTGGAAGTTTGGAGAGTTGTTCGTCTTACTGGAACACAACTTCATGTATAATTCAATTAGCATTGTATAGTCCAGTCACGTCACGGAAGAGGTTGCAGTTTATCGAGCAGTTTATTTCAAAAACATATGCGCCCCAATAACAATTGGCTTATATCACAAAACATTTTTATTTCATAATTCGATAGAACTCACCACCGTTTTTTGCTGTGAGCTTCCTCCGTTTTATAAAAAATTATTGAAATCCCCGAATTTTCGGACATCTGAAAACGAGGCGATGATGTGACGTCAAAACCCTAATACTGAAACAAGACTATTCCAGACAGAGATGAATGATACATGATTTCTGACAGAGTGAATAAGCGCGAGATTACAGTTGACAGTTGAAAGAATTGATATAACAGTTGCCTCAGTCTCCGTCGGGCGTTTGGCATTTTCTTTTAACTATGGCGAGATGAGGTTTCTACGTCATAAGAGGGTCCGTTTTCAGAAGGTACTATTATTTATGTCCAAAAATGAAACATTCCAGCATGGTTTGAGTTAAAAGTTCTACTAAGGTGTACACGCCCATTGAAGGAATTCGTAAAATAGTTTTCTTATAGTAGATACAACATATTAATATTCAATGTTGAAATTTCAATTCATATATTATGTATCAAAGTATATTCCAAGATATTTGATTTTAGTATTGAATTTTGTTTTCAAATTGCGACATATTTAGTCGGATTTACAATATCTAGGATTATGAAATATTATGATTCCTTTTCCGGTTTACTATACATGACTGATACACATTTTCCTCGACAGACACTAAACTCCAAGAGCTATCCTTAAAAAGTAAAATAGTGTTATCTGCATAACAAATCACCTGTCGCATCAGATCGGAGTTGGCTCAAGCTATCTATACAGGGTGTATAATTAATTGGAAATATCTCAACTTTAGAATCCAGAGCTCAAAGAAGATTTAACCCAAATCATCTATATAAAATGAGTCTCCTGTTTGAGTAACAGGGAGTTTTTTTTTTAAATTTCAGAATTGTTTGTGTCCAGTACTTCGAAACTATACGATGTTATATTTTCTTAAATACTGTTTGTATATACCGGGTGCGGCACCGAAAACGAAACAGAGGCTCTGTAGGTCGCCAAAACCGGATTATCAAAAAAAACTGAAACAGGTCAACTACATTTTCGAGGGGGACATCTTTCTAAAATATTTTCAGCCCTGCGGCGTTGCCGCTTCTAAAGAAAAGAAGCAACAACTTTGTTATTTCAAATGGAACACCTTGTATTTTATTGCATTTTTAGATTCTCCCCGAAGAACTGATTTCATCAATGCATCACACTTGGGGTCTAGCTGTAATGGTTTCAGGGATATAAAGTGTTCAAAATCGAGATTTTTCAACTTTAACATTTTTTTGTGTCGAAACTATTCATTATTGGTCAAAACGGCTCTCATGTCCCGATCTCAACTTGTGATTTACTATCTACTGACATTTATTTGAAACAAATACAGGGTGGTTCAAGATTCAGAATTCTGATCACCCTGTATCTGTTCCAATTAAATGTCAGTAGATAGTAAATCACAAGTTGATATAGGGACATGAGAGCCGTTTCGACTAATAATGAATAGTTTCGACACAAAAAAATGTTAAAGTTGAAAAATCTCGATTTTGAACACTTTATATCCCTGAAACCATTACAGCTAGACCCCAAGTGTGATGCATTGATGAAATCAGTTCTTCGGGAAGAATCTAAAAATGCAATAAAATACGAGGTGTTCCATTTGAAATAACAAAGTTGTTGCTTCTTTTCTTTAGAAGCGGCAACGCCGCAGGGCTGAAAATATTTTAGAAAGATGTACCCCTCGAAAATGTAGTTGACCTGTTTCAGTTTTTTTTGATAATCCGGTTTTGGCGACCTACAGAGCCTCTGTTTCGTTTTCGGTGCCGCACCCGGTATTTGGCAGGAAGTGTAGGTACTATAATACACCCAACTAAATTATGTTGAATGAATGTTTCTGGCTACCACCAGAGGCGTTCGACACTGGCGGAATTTCTATTTCATCAACATTTTTTGCTTCTCCAACACTATTTGCGTAAATATCGCACTCCTTCATAGCGATTAAGTCATATTTTCTCGAGGTATTTCAAGTTGAACATGATTTTGCACAATTATTTTGATTTTGATGTGTATTAATTATGTCGATATTAAGGATCAATGGATTGCTTTCATGCATCGACAGAAAAAAATTAATTATGAAATTGAGAGTGATGATTTATTAAAAAAAAAATTCTAAATACAAAATGGATTTTAGAGATTAAATTATTTTTGTCTAGATAGTTATTCAATCTTAGTTCTATGCAATTCTCCAATACTTTACTGAAATTACTTGTGAAAACTATTGGCATGTAGTTACGTTATTCGTGGGCAAAATTGAACCATGACAGTATTTATTCATGAACTTATTTATTTAACTAGAATAATAGTTATTTTTGTATCTAGAGCGCGAAATGCTACTTTGGTGATCGAGATCTGATTTTTTTACGAGGCGTAGCCGAGTTAAAAAAATAGTCGAGATGACCAAAGTATTTCGCGCTCGAGTTGCAAACAAATTTTTTTCTACAAACGTCAAAAAATATAGTTCTTAAGTAAAAATATGCCTAGCTTGATATAGAAAATAGTGTTGAACTGGCTTTAAAAGCCTCCCACTATCCTTCCTCGGTTCGCACGATGTTCCACGAGCATAATAGGGATTTTCTTTCGTGCGATCCAAGAGATAAAACAAAGCTATTGGTGAACATTTAGAAATGAATGATTTCGTGAATGTTTGCTCGATTGGGGACCATAAAGTTGAAATATAAATATCTCATATATTTTACATAACAGTGCGCGAAGTAAGTACTTCGCGCACTGTTTTACTTCGCGCATTGTTATGTGCAAGGTATCATGGTAACGTAGGAAACTGAAAAAAAGTGTCACTTCGCAATTTGTTATCAATGCGCGAACCTTGTCATTTTTTGACGTTTGTAGAAAAATACTTATTTATTGACATATCACTACTATTTATTTTATTTCGGGCGTTTCAAAACACGCTCCTTCCTATACAGGGTGTAATTTGATTGATGGCTGAAAATGAAGGATTATGGTTCCTTAGCTCATTTGAAGAAGAAAAGTTTATATGAACATATGCCCTAAACCTCTCAACCTTCGAGCTATAGGGTATAGAAATTTCAAGAAAGCATTCGTTTTCTTAATATCAACTTCAATACTGTTCTAGATATTTTCATAAAATTTGACATCTACCTACTAAGCTCCAATAGGCATTTTTTTATGCAGAAGATTTTTTAATATTTTTACCAGTGGCGTCCGTTTGGGAATGTATCCTGGAAATTCTGAATAAAAAGTTGCACTCCCTTGATTTTTCCTTTTTTGAAATCCACATTCATTTTGCAACAATTTAACCTCTTGAATTTTTTCCGTCAGGCACGAGGTCAGACAAGCCGTTTTCGCGTAAAAAATAAAACCTATTTTCATGCATTTGAGGCATAACGAAATTATTCTGAACTAATAGGCTAGTGCCCTATTTCGTTTTTAAAATAATGACATTTGATCGATTACGATGCGATCTTATTTTGACAAGTATTCATAAACGTCACAGTTTTTTTCATTGTGAAAGTTTCTTTAATTAAAAAAGATAAAATGAAATTTTAACACCTTATAGTTCGAAAGTAAAGCGGTTTATGGTATGGCATATTATGTTCATATGAACTTTCCTGCTTAAAATGAGCTGAGGATCCATATCCTATATTTTCAGCTATCAATTAAAGCATACCCTGTATATTAGTTACCTTGGTTTATCGATGATTCTATCGCTTTCCATATCCTTCTATTCTCAAAATATCACCTCTCCCTCTAATGTTTCATTCGATTATTCGAGATTCTTCCGTCGCCACGATATATTGGTTGGTCGGGAAAACGCTGGTACAGAATTATTGGGAGAAGGAGAACAATCTGGAAGCAAGGACAATGGACCTATGACTACAGTATCAAATATTTTTCGGTATACTACTGAACTACATGTAAAGTTTATCACAATTTATTGCATTATTTTACAGCGTATCTATTGCATTTAAAAATTATGTTTCTCCAAGTGAGTTCAAATATAATATATAGGTCTATTATTTGTAGATGATTCAATTCTTTGCCAAATGATTTCCTACTTTACAGAAAAACTTGTTGAATTCATTTGCAATATTTATTTCCTTGTTCATTTTACCCATTTTTATTATTGATAATGTTTATTGCTTGCTTATGTGTTCGTAACTTTTTTATCATGTAACATGTCTTTATTGAGTCGTATTTGTGTTCCTCAAAGATACTTTTTTTTATTATGGAGCAATCAATCCTGTGAGACGTGTCCTATAATTTTCATATTCTCCCAATGCCTCTGCAATAAATGGATTCAAACTTGTTATCTTTTTCAGTCTTCCTTGTTCTTTCATAGAGTTCATTATCTCTTCACTAATCCAACTTTCAAATTGCATTGAATAAAAATCAAATTTGTTGATTCATCAATGTGACTTTGTAACGAAGACATACATTTTTCAGCACATGAATCAACTTTTTCAAATTGAATTAAAAATTTGCATCATCATAATAATAGTAACTAACAATGACATTGTTTGTCTTCTCCTTTGAAATACTTTTTTCCAATAATCACTACTACTCTAATAAATCATTAATAACTTGTGTACAAATTTTCTATAGTTTTATCTATGAATATATAAAATATTTATCTCTGATTTATTCAACACGAAAACAAATTGAAAGTCTAATATAGAAAACAAACTCATTCAATTTGATCCTCCTCTTTGTTTCAGATGGTGGACGTTGAAAAGCTAAGTGACGCAGAATTGCGCACAAAACTTTTAGAATTCGGTTTCCCCGTAATGCCCATAACGGGAACAACAAGAAAGGTTATGGCAAAGAAGTTGAAAATGTTATTGGATAATAAGAATAAAATTGGATCTGATGGAGGAAGAAGGTTTGTTCAGTTATTAAAAGTCTTTGAGGATTTTGAGATAATAGTTTTCTCATCATTGATGCAAAAAATATTAATACTGTTATTGTCACTGACAGGTTCCATTAAAAAATGGATAAATGATCGACAACAATTTGTACTAATTTCAGATCTATGGGTATGGGGCGATATTCTAGTGAGGAAGATAGCGACTCTGAACTCAAGACTACTAAAAGAAAAGATAATAGAAGGATTACAATGGCTGCTCCAATAATGCAACCCCCTTCTTCTAACACAAAGGTTAGGAAAAGTACTCGGCTGAATGAAACATTTGAACCCGAAATAGCGACCGAGGTAAGCATGCTTTTTCACGAACTAATACATTCATTGACCATTCAGATATTCCATGCAATGTGGTAGTATCCAATATCCAAATATTGTGGTTTTTATCTCACTGTTTGTGAAAAGTTAACGTATACTTTTTTTTTTCTTTTTTCTAAAGATCAAATTTCACGTCAGAAAGAAATAAATGAAAGAGGAAGTTTGTGAAAATTTAATATACTTATTTAAGAAAGAAAACTCAAAGTCGTCTCCACAATTTTAATGTCAAATGAGGCAGTCAATCCTGCTTCAATAAGGTTTGATACATGCTTCGGCCATCTTCAGTCAAATTAGCAACAAAGTGTATCTACAATAGAAAAACCAAACATGATTTTATATAAAGAAGAAATTGAAATGGAAAAACAAAAGTTGTAAATGCAAATTGAATTGATTAACAAATTTCAGTAGGATAAAAGAGTAATGGTGATTTTTATAAGTATACAATGATAATTGATCAGTAATTGATGGTAAAAAGTGAAAAGTAAAAAAACAAAAAGGAGATTTATCAGGGGAGAAAAGGAACAGAGAAGAATCAAGTTTTGAATCTTGCTAATATGTTACAAAACAACTACATTGACAAAAAATTCTCATTTTATTTCGACAATTTCTTCACGTCTGCTAAACTCATCAGGAGTCTCAGTGAGAAAGGATTTGGCGCCACTGGAACTGTTCGCGATAACAGAACAGATAAATGTAATCTGATAGGTTTGGGAGATATGAAGGAAAAAGACCGTGGTGCAATGGATTGTGCAGTTGATAAAGCAAATAAAATTGTTTGTGTGCGCTGGAAGGACAACAATATTGTAACAATTTTGTCAAATGAAGTAGGATACAAAAATGTAACAGAATTTCGGCTAAAGAAAAGAAAAGGGTAGAAGTTGATCAACCGAACGTGATAAAGTATTATAATCGATACATGGGCGGCGTTGACCAGTTAGATAACCATGTGTCGAATCATCGGATAGCATTCCGTGGGAAAAAATGGTATACGCCGATTATATACTGGCTCATTGATGTCTGCGTTACAAATTCATATCTTCTGGCACGTCAGTATGGTTGCAAGAAGGATAATCTGAATTTCAGAAGAGATGTAGCAGTATTGCTCTTGACCCAATATGGCAAAAAAAGTGAAAAGCCTGGACGGAAGAAAGCATTTGGCTAATGGTTGACATCTCATCATAACAAAACAAAACAGGCTTAGATGTGAAGTGTGTGGAAATAAAACAATGAAAGCTTGTGAAACCTGCAAAGTTCCATTGCATGACAAATGTTTCTCCGACTACCATACCCAGTAGTGGTTACACTGAGATTACTCTTATGATGTTTTTTGTGTTATTTCAGAATAAAAATTGATTTTTGAAATATACTTTTTTACCATTAGATGTTTCCCTGAAGCCCAATGGGTCGATAGCGACCCAGTCAATATTTTCGAAATTAAGACAGATAATTTTTTTTATTATTTTTCTCGTAACTAGTATCACCCAAAAATGTTGCTCTGTGACATAGAACTCAATACGAACTACTTCATAATTGTGGGCATTAATGGGTTAAGAAAACCGAACATTCTCAAAGCTTTTTTACTGACAATATTGGTATGTTCTATGAATTTCAGATTTTCTGTAAAGTGAACGCCTAAATCTCTCATAGAAGAACATCTTTGAACAATGAAATTGTCCATAGTATACATCAAATAATTAGGGGTTCTGGATCTATGAAAGGTCATAATTTTACATTTCTCGAAATTGAAATATAATTTATTCACATTAGACCATTCTATAATTTTGTCAACATCATCTTGCAATTCAATGTAATCATTAATGTCTCTGATTGAACATTTTGAAATCATCCGCATAAAGCAAGCTCTCAGAAGATACATAATCAGGCAAGTCATTGATAAATAATAAGAAGAGAAGGGGACCAAGATTGAAACCCTGAGGTACTCCAGATTTTGCCAGGTAAGTTGGTGAGTTATGACCAAGAAAATTAACACTTTGTAGTCTATTACTCAGGTATGATTTCAGTAATTGCATTATCTGTTCACTCAAACCAAAAGATAAGAGTTTAGATAGCAAGATATCATTATCAACTCGATCAAATGCTTTGGCAAAATCTGTGTATACAACGTCAACTTGGTCACGAGCAGTTAGGGAATTTTCAATTTTGTCAACAAAGGTTGCTAAATTTGTTTCAATGCTTTTTTTCCTACAGAAACCATGTTGTACATTGATTGATTGATTGATTAATAGCAGAATGATCAGTCAGGGTTTGAAGCCCAAAACACTGCAGCCTTTGGGCCTATTGTATTCCTGATCATGCTGTTGACTTAGGTGAACAGGTTCGCTACCTTGATGAGGTTTAGCAGCCTCTTCACCAGATCATTCTTTGAAAATGCCTCTTGAGAGTTTACTGCTCCCAGAAGGTTGTATCTCCAACGCGCTAGTGCTTCGCACTCCAGTATTACATGGGTGGCAGTTTCCTCCTCCTCATTGCATAGTCTGCATATGGGTTCGTCTGTATAGATGCCCATTTGATGCATATGTTTCCTCAAGGGGCAGTGACCGGTTATTAGTCCCGTCACTTGTTTGATCTGACTTCTGTTTAGGCTCAGAATGTCGTTAGTCACTGTTTTGGACAGTGTTCCAACCATCAGTTTACTGTGTCTTTGTCCTGGGACATTGTTCCAGTATGCCTGATGTCTTTCTTGCATCCACCTTGCCAGCCAGCCGCGTATTGAGGTTTTGGGGATACCGAACACAGGTCCCATAAACAACGTCGCAGACCCTTGCCGGGCAAGAGCGTCAGCTGCTTCATTGCCTTCAATTCCCTTATGCCCTGGCACCCATTGAAGAGTTACCTTGTTGTGGTTAGCCAGGGTTAGCAGGCTTTGAAGGCAATCCCAGACCAATTTTGATCTGATTTTATTGCATGTTAGAGATTGAATGGCCGCCTGACTATCTGAGCATATGAGGATTTGTTTACCTCTGTATCCTCTTACGATATTCTCTCTCAGGCATGCCTCAATAGCATGCACCTCTGCCTGGAATACTGAAGCATACCTCCCCAAGGAAGCACACATCCTGGTTCTGGGTCTATCTCCATATATTCCGGCTCCCGTGCCCTCATCAGTCTTAGAACCGTCAGTGTACCATACTAACGTGCCTTCCTGACAGTTAGTCAAGACCCTTTCATCCCAGTAGAGCTGAGTGTTGAAGGGTCTGTAATAGTTATTTTGTACAACAGAAATATTATGCTTCACATGATTGTATATTTTTTCAAAAATAATGAATTCGAATAATTTGGCTACTCAATTTAATCTACCCGATCCTGAAATAACAAATTCAGCGTTGTTAACAAAACTCCAGTATTGAAAACAGCACAAATATGTCTGCAAAAGTGACCTGCAGGACAATCACACTGTTCTATATTCTATGTGTGTATTAAAAGTATAGGAATACAAGATTTGCATCTTGGGATGAACTGACGATGAAACGTGTAGGTATCTGTTTTTTTTGGTCACTCCAAAGTGATTAGCCTTATGAAAGAATTTTTTTAATCAAAGATCCAATTTACACACACGACCATTTGCATATGCGACACATTTTTGTTTGTAAAACTCTATCAGTGGGTGTGTGATAAACCCTGAGAGATACACTGCATTAACCGTTCCAAATCTTTGTAAAAGGAAATTCTTCCTTATGCGAATTGACTCTTCAATGATGTAATTCATGTTGTGCCCCCTAGTCACAAAATCAGTGCGGCAAAAATGAGCTCATAGTTACTTTCATGTCCAAAAATTACTCTCCAGTTATTTTTGCAATTATTGTTTCACCATCAATAACATTGCACGTTCATTTTGTTTGACCCCAAACTGCAGACTTAATTTTGCGGATGAAGCAATATTTGTCAAATTAAAACATGTGCAGTTGTCACTGGCGCTCTATAATGCCCATTGCTTTCAAAATTTGCGTCAATTGGATAGGTTTTGTAAAATTTCAATATTTTACGTATCCTATGACATTGAAAAGATTGGAAAATGCTTCTGGGTCGCCCGGTTCAGAGAATATAAAGGACGGGAAATATTCTTTTTGCATAAGGAAGGAGACTGCTTTTTCTAAACAATCTAACCTTTCTCTAAAATATATTGTGGTTGCTGACAGATTTCTCAAGTCTGTTAAGGAATTTCTATGGAACTTAGAGCCCTACAGTATCGAGGAATATTTTCTGGCCTGTAGGAACCCATGAATGAAATTTTATTCAAAACCATGCTCTCTATGTATATATGTATTTATTGAAAGTTAGGTACTTATGTCTATTTTAATCTACATGTGAAATATGTCGCTCATTTTTAATTGTTTCAATAGTGTTTGAAACATATCTATCAACTCATGTGAATGTTTCACATCATTTTGAAATTCATGTATTAACTTATTGAAAATTTTAGAAGTTCTACTTGTCGTATTTCTCAAACAAACATATTCTGCTACTTTTGTGAATGATTATAGAATCAATGTTGAAATAAATGTATCTATCTCCTATCTAACCCAACTCGACCTAGATGAACCTTCCTAGAAAGTATATTTTTTGGAAGATTACTTGACAGATTAAAATGAAAAAAAAGTCCTCGCGAAAATTGAACCCGGGTCTGGTGCGTGGCATTCCCGTAAGGTTTGTTGGTTGTGATTCAAAACCGAGTTCAAAAGATTTATGTTATCTCATTTCTCAAATATTTGAATTAAGCGGTTTACTAATGTGAAAAGTGCTCAGCTATTCTTGTTATATTGTGGATATTTCAGGAACAGGCACAATCAGGTTAATATTAGACATTAGTTTTATTGTTCATTATATAATTTCAACATGAACACTTTTCTTACACGCTATTCTGTTACATAATTTTTTTACAGTTACCTTTTTAATTGATTCCTCTTATCAACTTCATGATGAAACACAGAAGACAGAAAACAACTTGAAAGTGTTGCCAACATAAATGTAACATATATATTCATATTTACCATTGCACGACACCAACAACTACCAATCTCTAACAGCTATCAAAGCCATCGACTATATTCTTGTCTGGAATATACTTATAGTCAGCACCGGATATAGACTTCGTTGGCCCATAGACAGAGCATGTGGTGGAGGCACTCAAATCGTTTGTGGTTAACTGTTGAAATTTTCTATTAAGGTCAAGGAAAAGAAGAAAGCAACTAAATGAGTTGGCTAACGCAAAATTTATTCAAATTCAAACTAGAAAAAGACTAAAATAATTTCAGTTTACCTACAAGCTCAATTATTTTTCGTCTGATTTTCACATCAATAAACATATCGATAATATCGTCCAAGTCTGGTTCCCTCAAAACATCACTCTCTAAACTAAGGAAAGTTGAAACATTCAATCTGTCCTCGGTCATGGAATTCGGAGTTCATTTTTTATAAGCTTCAGTTTTGAGAAGGATCTTTCAGCCGTACAATTTGTCACCATTAGTGTGAGCTATTGATGGTCTAGCGCTTCGCGCGAAAAAATGCGCGAAAGGCGCCATTTGTGTTCATATTTGATGCTCCTTGATCTCGCAGATTCTTAAATGATGTTAGCTTTTCCCACTCAAAGATAAAAATAAGATTTTCGTCTTAACTATTCGTAACGAAACTCAGTATTTTTTTGTTTCTACTGAGCCTTTATTGATTTAATTTGATTATTTGTGGTGTGGTACCGTGTGGTGGCGGCCCATAGGCAACTGTCTATGTTGCCTGTGCTCAAATCCGGTACTGCTTATAGTATGTCCACCGCTTATGAACACTAGTCATCCTCCATTGTCCTTCTTCCAGATTTCTAGTCCTGTGAAGAGAGATTTACGAACAACAACAACATCCTCATCTACCACAAGAACCCAGAAACTCATCAAGGCCGTTCAAGACGAATTCGATCAAGACGAATTCGATACGGGATCCGATTCCGAATCGGACGTCGCTGTCAAGTACAAGCCGACGCGTGAAAGCGTCGCAGACAACAACAGGAGTTCCCCGGTGCGGCCGACGTCGACCAATCCTTATGCGATCAAGTACTCGCCTCCGCAATCCCCCGAGAATTCTTATTCATCGAGGAACGTTTCTTACAACGCTAATGCGTCGCCCAGCCGGCCGTCGAGTTACAATTCGCCTTCGTTGGCCTCCGAGTACGCCAGCGACAGGTTGAATCAGATCAGGTCGCGGTTGAGTCTGACCAATCCAGGTGAGCTATCCGAAAAGAAATTCATGATTGGTTTGACAATTATTTTAAGAATAGCAAATAGTGGCTATATTCCGAATTCAACTGACAGTACTGAATCTGCTGATTTTCCATTCCGAAATCAAAAAATTCACTGTAAGTGACAGATGCTTGTCAGCAGACATACTATTCATTCCAAATATTTCGACTCAACATTCTGCTGGAATTGCTGAATATCAAAAGGTAGTGTGGCTTCAGTGAACTGTCATATTTTAGAGGGGGAAGGAATGTAACATTCATTTCCGTTGTTAATGAAATGATTCTCAATATCAGAAAATACCTGGAGTATGAAGTAGTAGAGCAGGTAAGGAAAGGAGCAGCATTGGCTAAATAAACTAAATGAACCTGGAATGTCTCCTAAAATTCATCATTATTAAGGCATATTGCGATTTTCATGAATCTCAATTCTCAATCTGGTGCATCATGAGAAATTTATGGCAACAAAATGTCCAAGTATTCTTCATCACTCGAGCTCGAATCGCCATCGTCAACAATCGTAGAAACTATAGAGGATACAAGAATCGATTTGTCTTCCATGTTAAATATTAAATTTCCAAAATTTATAACAAGTAGGAGGCTAAACATCTAGTTCAGATAAACGAGAAACTACTACTGATGAAAATCATGAAAACGTGTCCCGAATTACAGTAGTGAATTTTTGATTTTATATTTCGGAACACAGATTTTCAGCAGAGTCAGTGGATCAACTGACAGTCCTGACCAGTTGAATTTGGAATATAGCCATAATGTTGATGTGAATAATACTTGTAGTTCCTTGATAAATATTACATGTGGTGTACCGCAAGGGTCAGTTTTGGGGGCAATTTTATTTTCAATTTACATCAACTCAATATCTACTTTGAAATTGAAAGGAAAACTAAAATCATTTGCTGATGATACAACAATAATCTATACCTACTTCAAAATATAATAATATTAAAAATGATTTTAAACAAATATCATCTTGGCTAACGACCAATAAGTTGACTCTTAATTATAGTAAATCTACGTGTATGTACATCTCAAGAAGAACAACGGATATATTGAATAATACCCCAATATGTTTCAATAACAAATCCATCGAATATGCAAATGTAAAAAATTTTTTAGGTCTTTATATTGATGAACAATTATCGTGGACTACACATATAGATCATTTGAGGAAAAAATTGAATCCTATTGCTGGTATTATACAGGGTGATTCAGGTTTTAAGGCACAAATTGAAATGGGAGATAGATCTCATCATTTTAATCAAAAAAGTTTATATAAACATTAGCCGATCTCGTTCAGTAGCGGAGCTACAGGGGGTCAGAGTTTAATTATTTTTTTCTATTAATTGAAATATCTCGCTTACTTTTCAAGATATCATTTTGAAACTTGGTATGGTCAATACTTCCTAGAGGATCATCATTTAAAGCATTTTAAAGGTTTTCAATATCTACAGGGTGATATATTTTTGGATGTAGAGGCTTCTTTATCGCCTCCAAACTTTTTCGTAGTACGCCTCTGGCATCTTTCAGTGATCAAATTGTGTGGATCGTTCAATTTAGAGGCTTTTTTTGCTCTTCAATTTTTTTCGGGAAACGACCTCGAAGTCGTCTTATATGGTCACTGCCATCATATCTGCTTCAACTGTATGCGAGATTGAACAATATCAAAAATGACCTAACCTATGCTCATACGTATACCCAACTTATACAGGGTGTATCTAGATAACACCGAAAAAATTAAAGGGGCGATTCCTTGTGATATTCTAGCAAATAAAGTTCATATGAACATGTTTCCTAACTTGTTCCGTTTTTGAGATACAGGATGTGGAAGTAGGAGGTATTAATTGTTTTTATTTATAACCCCCTGGTATAAGCTTTCATGGTGCCAAAATTCAATATTCGCAGTCGAAAAATCGAGTTTATAAATGACGGGCCCTGAGAGCGCGTAGAATTCATCCTTATCAAAATTTCATATACCAAAATCGTGTATGACGGGAAATCGCCAAAAAGTTTTTTCTGACAACACCATAAATTAACGGGTTGTTTAGAAAAAGGTTCCCCCTGTCCTTAGAAAGCGCTACTAAAATCTTTCCTTTGAAAAATTACACTATGGTCTTCTACCAAAGACGAATAATATTTATTAATTTATTTATTCAGCAGTAATAGTAGTCGTACAATGTGCACACTGATGAGGTCAATGTAGCTTCCTTAGCCTGTTGTACTCAATATACCTTCTTCAAAGTCGTCTTATATGGTCACTGTGATCATATCTGCTTCAACTGTATGTGAGATTGAACAATATCAAAAATGACCTAACCTATGCTTATAATTATACCCAACTTATATGTATAATGACTATCCTGCTGCACAATGCACAATGGTATTCAAAATGCTGCGTGTGCATCTCTGAACATTTGTAGTTCTCCATGCTATGAGGCATGGCATATAACAGTTTTGGTACTACATTTATTATCATTCCTATGATCCACTCAGTAATTTCTTTTTTACATTCATAATAAGGTTTCAATCTGAGTTCTTGTGGTAAATTATAAAATAATTTTGGTCCTAGACAATATATATATATGATTTTGGCAAACATGTTTTTTATACGATTTTTTTTTTGTAATTTCAGCTTATGAAACGCCTTCATATTCGTCGAATTCGCTGGAAAAAGAGGAGACGCCATTTTTGAGCAATTTCACCAGAAGATTATCAGCTCTATCCAACCAGAAAAGTGAATATGATGAAAATGATGTAATAAAAGAACATGATTCTAATGGATCAAGTTATCCTAGGAGTCCTCTTAGCAAGTGAGTATTATTATTATTTCATAACGTCCTTTTTTTAGGACGATTTCTTTTTCAATACATACATCAAGAATTTGCAATGCATTTATATCATAATCTTAGTCAAAAGTTTGTGATAACTGGGTTAACTTAACTTGCGATGAATTTGACAAATAAAAATATTGTATTATACAGGTAGGGTGAGGAGTGAGCTAATTATATGGCCATCACATTTATATCAAGAGGCGCTTTCGCGCCGAAAGATATTATGTGCGAGCTATATAATAGCATACTCACCCGAGGTATTATATAATATTTTTTCCACTAATAACACTGAATAATCAACATATTTTATCAATATAGATATTCATTTCCATAGAAGGAGCAATGCCATTTACCGTATATATTCAGCATTGATCAGCATATTACTAAAATTTTGAAATATCAAGTATAGCCTAGGATTTCAGTACTTTATTTTGAGATAAAAAGATGAGATATAAAGATGATGATGATGATGATGATGATGATGAAAAGGAAATTTTACTGGGCTGCCAGAAAATAAACATTATATTAAAATTCCAAGTGGAATTATTAATAACTACTAAACCCAGTGAGAATTTAAGTGACATTCACTTTGATAGGAAGTTAGGAAGGATACTGATAAATATTGCCAGTAGATATTGAAAATTCAGCATTCATTAATATATTTTGAAATATTTAAACCCTATGAATATCACACATGATAGGATTGAACAATCATTGAAGTGGTACATCATATCGTATCGACAGCCATAAAAATGTGTCCTTAAGGAAAGTCATGGTTATTTGAATTCTTGATCTAATTCACACATGACAGTATGATTTGTGTTGTGACATTTTTATTTGAATTAATAATCAAATTATTCTAAACATTGTTCATACTTCAAAAGTTGCTTTCAGCTGTAATGAGATTTGGAGTTCCGCCTATATTTGGTTTTAAGATTGTATCATTTTGGTTGATTGCATACACATCGGTATCTGTTTGTATATTGCATAATCTCATTGACACTATTGACAATTTTTTTATCTACCTGCTAAAATTTCTTTATCAATTCATCATTATTTACCTAGGTTTAAGAAGTGTTACTTCTCATTAGAGAAAATCCTCGAATAATGGGGATTTCTCAGGTTAGTGGTGGAAAAACACATTTTGTATTGACAGTATCTCAGATAAATTGACTTTCTGCTTGATGCACCTGCTAAAGTTATCAATTTTGCTTTGCTGTAACGAGCACACTAAAACATACACAGGGTGTAGAGTAGAACCAATACAGTATGGTCTATTTTGCCATGTATTCTGCTCCTATAATAATGGAAAATAGACACATTAATTGTCTGAAATTCGTGATTTGTCCCATTGTATTTTCCACATCCATCTCCTTCTGGATAACCTACTTCCCTCTGTACTATTTCCACTCCTGCTAGTTCTACTACCATCTATTTGACATTTCTTCATCCCCCCAAATTGTATCATTACCGCTAGTTTATCACATAAAATGGAAGGCTCTTGTGTTTTTACTGTTGAAAATATAATCAATCTTTTAGTTTCAGATCTACTAGGGGACGGGACACAACTTACGATTACAAATCTAACCAGAACAATATATTGAAGAACAATTTCGTTTCCTTTGCTGTTTTGGCTGGAGCAGCCTTATTTTTCGTTGTGTTAGCCATAATGTACATGGGGATGAGATCGGACACATCGGTGATTCCTTCTGGTAAGAGCCGTTATTCAAAACCTTGAATGCTCTCTCTTGTACAATGAAAGATTCTGTTATTGTTGATAATTGATGAATAATCTTTTTTGATCAAGTTACACTATTTACATCTCTGGACACTTTTTAACTTATAAGAATTGAACATTTTAATATCTTCTTTCCGTAAATTGGTTTTTGTTTGTCACTTCTGCTTTAGATTGTGGAATCTTGAATTTTTTTCATTCTTGAAGTGATCTGTAATCTCTTGTTCTATTTCTCAAATATTTTATTTTGTACCTACTATTTTAATAAACAATAAATATTTTGGTCTTTCAAAGTTGTTTGTTTTTATTTGTTTGTTGATCCTTGGTCCTTTTCATTATTTTACAATTGATTTTTAGCAGCAGCTAAAATATTTATTGGTTATTAAATATCTAAACAGGTTTAATCTTACTTCCTCATCTTTAAAAAAATCAATGCATTTCACCTTATATTTCTGTCCTCTCCTATTTCCTACAAATTTCTCGCTGATATATTATCATTTTTATTCTAGTCATTAGCTATTGTATTTTCATGAGAGCTTTTTTTTCTTGAAGTAAACTTGACATTTTAATAAGAATTTTATTGCCTCAAAAAATTACTCGCCTTCCGGGCTCGTAATTTTTTCGGAGGAATTTTTTTTTGTTTCATTTTCTAAAGGCAGTAAAACTCGGATTATAAATTTCAAATTTACTAGGACCCAAAAAAATGCTTGAGTATAATCCGGGAAGACGATTTAATGAATACATAATTCACACTATTGTTGATGATTTTTCCAATTTCTCCACTTGAACACTCCAAACCGCGGCATTTCCACAGATTAGATACTTTTCTGACAACGCAAGATTGGGCAAAAAATTTACATAAACGCCATCAAGATTCGTTCATAATTGAAGAGGCGAGTGGAGAAAAGTTGGTTTAAGTAAAATTAGCTGGCATTTGTTAATGGAAGCTAGTATAATAATTTGACTTATGCAATTTTGAGGAATAGTTTCAGGTTGTTCTTTTATGATTTACAGCATTTTGCTAGCATATCATTTTTTGATCGACATCTGGATTTATGCGTTCATAATCCCTTCTTCGGTTTCTAGACATGTAGACGATGGGCACATACAGTCTGTATAATATTTCTTTGTGTGTGACTGAAATAAGCATTCAATTCTTTTATTGTTCACACAAAACATACAGTTTTATAAACAAGAAATTCGGTGGTACATAATGGTACATAAATTAGCAACTTCCTATCCTCTTCACACTTGCATATAGAGTAGCAATGTCTATGAGGTAAAAGCTTGAATACAGAGGTGTTCGTATGTCGAGACACATTTGAATTCAGAGGCGTGCAGTAGTTGCTGAAATGACATCGTTTTGCGTGGCCATTGTCAAATATTCAACATGCCAGGAAGACATTTGAATTCGCAAACCCGAAGTCTTGTATCGAATTTGTTACAATATTTCACAAGAGAGAAAGATAATAATGGTCCTTCAATCTCGTTTACATAAATAACACCCTGTATAGCTAGCCGTTATCTCACCAATTGAGTATAATAAAGTAATGATATTTTAGTTCATACACACGTTTGACATCTATGTATATTGATATATTGAATCTGTATAGCTGTAAACATAAACTTTTATCGCTCAACAGCAATTTCCAATAAAAACACGAAATTGATATGCTGTCCGACGAACCTTTCTCACGGTAAATAGGAACCTCTTTTGAAAAGACAGTTCGTCACTAAGTCGGTCAGTGATAGTCAGTATCTCCGAGTCATCGGAGAAGCATACAGTTCACATCAGTCAGTCTCGTGTTAATTTTTCTATTCCCTATATGTTACAGACATATAGGTATACTTCAGTACATAGTAATATACCAAATACCTAAAACGACTCAACAGTGTTCGGCTTTGCCACGACCACAGAATACCTCACAAAAGCATTAAATAGGTGTATATATCGGGTCATATACCAACCCATACGTATATACATACCTAAGTTCTGATACATGTTTTTGCCTTCGATAAATTGACGAATTAAAGAGTTGAAACTTGAAAAATATACCAAACCTATGTTTAATTGAATGTTTCTTAATCAAAATTACCTGGAGTGAATACAAATTTTCTGAATATTATTATTTATTTTAACCCAATTTCTGAAACAGCACGGCACTGCTTCACTGGAACATATGACCTTGCGCAAAGGAATGTTATACAGACTAACAGACTGCGTAATAAAATTGATGTTCAATGTAACATTGCCCCTTCTACCACTGTGTATCTGCTCAGGTATGAAAAATAGAAACAAATCCTGACGGGGCAAGTTACATATGCACATAACACCTTCTTCCATGACATAACCGAATATTTTCGGAAAATGTTACTTGACCCCTTCTTCCACTTGCCCCTTCAATTCTGGTTGTTATAGTTTCAAATGTTAGGTTCCGTTATGTCGCTGGAAAACTTAGGCCAAAGTTTTTCCACCACATGATGTCTACTCATTAAAGATGGTGTAGGGTGCGTGATCAGAGACCTAAGCGAATTTAGTGATTTAGTTGGTGTGCTAGAGGAAGGAACCTATGAAAAGTCCTGACATCTAGGAGGTGAACCGATGAGGAGGGGGCAGTGAGAAAGTTCCGTCTTTGGGTTTGTCGCTTATGATATATCGGTAATGGTTCGATTTTGAAAAAAAAATCAGATTAGAGCTGATAAAATTCTCTACAACTTTCTTCCCTAACACTGCTTTCGAATTCCCAACCGTTTTTGAGCTGCTCGCTCCGAAAAGTAGACATTTTCAAAGAAAAGACTTATACCTCACATTTTTCATCAAACATTACTTCATATCGTCTAAACTATTCTTTCCCCCAGGTAATTTGTAGAGAGTTGAATTCCGTTCAAGAAAATGTCGTTTTTGACATTCCTGAGCTACAAGTATTGTTTGTTACAGCTGTATCTACATGTGTACCACTGTTACTTGAAAAATAAAAAATAGTATATTGAAAATAATGAAAATGTCACATATAACATAAGCCAAATAACTTTTTTATCATTGTTCTCACTCTAAATAACTTGATAATTTCAAACACCCAACTTTCTCTGGATTCACGTATTAATAAATCCTCTTTGGCTATGAGGGTCCTGGTAAGGGTTTTAGTTCTTACTCAAGTGGCCTTATGTCATATTCATCGTCCTCGTACTCAGTAATAGACACACCACTGAGGCATTTCCCTTAGCAATGAAGGCATATTTGCCACCACTACAATCCTTGGTGCTGTGACGAAATATCGTTTTCAGTAGGAACTCTGGTGCTGTTGGATCTTCTGTTGTAATTAGCTCCAGGGTTCTCCTACATGTTTCCCCCCGACTATTGAGGTGCAGGTCATTCTCGAGTCACTGCTGAATTTGGTGGTATGTTTGCTGGAAATGCTGTTTAGCTGCGCTCTGTTTTTTTACCTCTTGAAGCGTACAAAAGGAAATTCCTATAAGGTTCGAAGGGCATCGTGCGTACCTAGGGACAATAGCTAGAGGAGGTAGGTGTTGAATTCTTTTTCCAACTTTTGGAGGTTATCAGTTCTTGGGAATACTTCCATTGGCAAAGAATTCCGAAGCTTTGCTGTCCTATAAACGAACGAGTTTTGGTAAAGTGTTGTTCGACATTATTCAAGGTTGACTGGGCCTGTCGTGTTCGTCCGACTACGCGTACCTAGAGACGACAGGTAAGGAGGAAGTTATTCGAATTTCTTTTTGAACTTTTGAAGGTTATAAGTTCTTGGGGAAAATAAACTTCCATTGGCAAAGAATTCCAAAGCTTCGCCGTTCTATAAACGGAGGAGTTTTGGTAGAGTGTTGTACGACATATTTCAAGGTTGACGACGAAAGGATGTGCTGACTGGGCCTGTCGAGTTCGTCTGACTGGTATTGCTAGTGCTGGAATGATAGCAGAGATCCCTGAAAAACATTTTTCGTGTCTATATAGAAATGAGAAATATCGCCAACTTTTCTACGCTGTTCTGAAGATATCAAAGGATTAGTGACAGGGACGAAGGAATGCTCGAAGTCATCCCCACAAATTTTAATGATGTTGTTACATGATCATAAGGGACATGTTTCGGTTTTATAAAAGACCATCTTCAGTCTAATTGAAAGGTTTGGAGTTGAAACATTTTTTTTGAATTGTTGTCAATGCCCTTAGCCAAGAATTCAAATGTTTAATAAAAAAAAACGGGTTCTTTATAAATGAATGGACCCGTTTTTTGATTGTAATTTTCTGACATCACCCAAGGTCCTTAGATGAGTTTACGTCCGATCACCTAGCTAAACTCTAAAAATATGGAGTAGGCGTAAAAACTCCATTCATATAAAGAATTGTCTCAGAAATCTAAAAATGGCTGAATATACAGGGGGGTGTTCAATTTGAAGATACAAAAAAAGAGCCATTTTCGGTGAAACCGGACGTGATCGGAAAGTGAAAAATATGCGAAAACTTTCCTCTTCCTGTACAATCTTCCTATACCATATCTCATGTTGACACACCTAATATTCTAGAAGTTATGACTTTCCTATAATAGATTCTTTGACACCCGGTATATCTCAAGAGAATTTGAAATTTTTATCTGGTGTTTTTTTTCTTTTTTGAAAAAGAAGAAATGGGGGAAATGAACACGGAAAATGTCTAGATGACTTCGCAAAATAGGCGAAAACATTTTTTTATATAAAATGAATTTTATTTTTGTATATCAGTATTTCATTTTCGCTGTTGTTTTCGTATTCGAGAGTTGATTTGGATAAATATTCATCAGCAAAGAAATATCTGTAATGAAATCATTAACGGTAATTTTTGAACACTCAATTTTAGAAATTCTCAAGAAATCGTTCTCTTTCTCTATGGAGGAAGGGACGCTAGAGTTCATTGTTTTTTGAGTTGAATTACCTAATGGCAACTAATTTCGAATTATAAATGCCAAGTTTACTTCGACTAAAAAAAGCTAAAGTGTAATTCGGTAAGACAATTTAATTCATTCATCAAACATTTGTTTATGGCGGTTGTCATGCTTCCAAAAGTTAGGTTCCGATATTGTCGCTGGAAAAGTTAAGGCAAACTTTTTTCGCTGTCATAATGACGAATTCACGCGGCTTGTGGGATTTTTCATACATGAATTGAATAATTGTCATCTGAATTATTATCGGTATCGTCTACATTAATTTTGTATTCAAATATCAATTATTCTTATAATTGGAAAGCATACCACGTGATCCGCTCGGAAAAGTTGGTTGACGAGTATGCGCAGTGCCTATATCGTACTGGTCCGGCCTTGGATAATAGAACACTGTCAGTGACGTCATACGACGTAAAATTGTTGGCATAATCATTTTCCGTAAGGGTACATGTAACGTTCTTTCACATTTTTCACTATAATAATCAATTTCGGAAACACTTCGTATAATTATAGTGGTATAATTATTACTCTGTTACTTTTATAATTTTTGGGGTGACTTCATTTTATCAGAGTTGTTCATGCATTTCAGATTATGTTATACCAAAATGTATCCGAAACGACGCTACAACAAAAAAAGGAGTGAACTGCCTCGAAGATGATGACATAAAAAATGCCATCGATTTATTGATGGTATTGAAACCTGAACTTCAGAAACGGGCTATAGCGAATAAATGTTTTGATATAACCCTAAAGCCACATATGACAGAATCTGAAATAATCAATTTTTGTGTGACAAATTTTGCTTTAAATGTAAGTACCGATTCTTATTTCTTTTCGATGATCGATTGTAGGAATATCTAGGATTGGGCATGGTCAGTTGACCAGACAATTCGACGGTAATTGTATTTGACTGGTCAAATCTAGAGTCACTGCATGGTATTAGTTTGATAAGAGTTCGGACACAGAAATGACAACGGTTAGGGTTTATGAATGTTTAGATTTATTAAGTTAGACACCCTGCATTGTGACAAGAGCACCATAGTCGTCCCGCGCTTTTTCATTCAAAATTGTTCGAATTTGACAATTAATTTTGTTAACGTCAGAATTGAAATAAAATTTCATAATTATACTTTCGAGAAAAAAACAGCTATGGAAATCACTTGCTGTGTAATAAATTATGCCAATTCTGAAAAAAATGGATATCATTTATTCAATTTTCCAAATCTAACATCAGGCATTCGCTTATGGAAGGAAGATATGAAACGGCCTGGGTGGAAAATCAATTTGAAGACGAGCGAAATTTGTGAGGTACTCATTGAAATTCACTTCTTATAGCAGCATCTGATTAGAATGAAACTATATTTTAGGTCCATATTCAAACAGAAGATTTCAAAATCTGTTTGAGAGATTCTGCTGTTCCATCAATTTACACAGCAGACGATTTCAAGAACAAAATTTCATTATTATCATCACACAAAATGCAAAACAAAATAATCATGGAAAAAGGGGAAAATATCACAAAATTACATAATGAAATTGAAAATTTGAAAACGAAACTAAGAAAAGCAAGTAAACTACAACGTGATATATTATTGAATGGCGTTTTTGGTGCCGACCAAATTCAAAATTCAACAGTGGAAAGTGAATAGATATTTATGTATCAAGGGAATTATTATAAGGGCCTTAATTATGCTGGAGCTTATCGTTGAGGAGATATTTTCTATATCGGTCCATGTTACTTAGCTCCTAGGGTGCTAAGTGAAGTTGCTGAGAACTTCACAAAATCAAGTATTTGGTAGGTCTCGTCAAAATAAATTAATTTTTTCCCATGAAATAATTATCGAAAACAAATTTGTTCTCTGTATTTCAACACCCTGTATCTCCGAAATGAAGCATCTCCGGATACAAGCTTATACAGACTATATTTCTTGAAATTGTCTCAGGACTACTTCACTTGAACGTACTTATGTTACTCCCTGTATATTGAAAATACCTACCTTTAATTTGATATCAATAACTTCATGTTTTATACTTATCACTGGAGTACAGTTTCACATATAGTCTAAGATCCGAACCTAAGTCGACCTTCACCGAGCTGATAATAGAACGAAATATATTTTATCATGAATTTAGTATATTAGAAAACATATTAAAAATGGGTTCGCTAAAAAAATCCTGGGCGGACTATTTTTAATTATTTTTCGAAAAATGATTTTTAATTAAATGTTACAACATCAGGATAATAAAAAAAATTTGTCCTGACTGAAAGTATAAAACGTATAGAATGTGCTGCCGTTGGGTTGTCTACTATTTACCTGGGCGAACTACTGGGTTGTCAGGTAAACACAGGTATATCGATGCCAGTTACTTTCACTGGATTGGATAATTAAAAAAAAATTATATCATCAAAAGCGCTGTTTAATTGCGAACACGTTGATATTCCGGTCCTATTAGGGGTTTGCGAATTTTAAAGATTTTAATTTCAACGCGCGTGGAAGTGTGTGACAGAGAGATCCGAGGTAAGTATACTGTGTAATAATAAAGGACCCAACATCGCAGTCGCTTGTGATGGGACCCTGAATAGTAGAAAGTGTGCGAAGTGTGCGAAGTCAAATCCTGAAAACTATGGTTGGTTGGCAAATGAGGAAGAATCTAATGAATCAGACGAATTCGAGAGTCAAAATGATACTTCTGATGAATCAGATATTGAATAGAAAATATTTATTAGAATTTATTTTTCATTAATATTATTTTTGTATTCATACTGTTTTTTAATAAAATTTTAAATCGTAATACAAGATGTCTAGTCTATCTTTTTTGTTATTTCTTAATTTGAATTTTTGGCGGTCCACTTTGTTTCTATTTCCAGAAAGAGCAAAAAAGTAATTGATATTTTTATTGTCTATTAAAGATTATAGGTATATTATTATGGTTATAACGCAATATATTGATACTATATTGTTTTTATATATTAGTATTATATTAAATATATTTAATTATTATGTAATTAATTAATTTTTTTTTGCTACTGAAATATCAGTTGCTCCAAAATAACACGCACTGTTTACTATATGAAGGGTAGTAGAGGTACCTCAACCCTCCATAGTTGACACACCGAGCATGCGCACTTTCTACTATTCAGGGTCCCATCACAAGCGACTGCGATGTTGGGTCCTTTATTATTACACAGTATACTTACCTCGGATCTCTCTGTCACACACTTCCACGCGCGTAGAAATTAAAATCTTTAAAATTCGCAAACCCCTAATAGGACCGGAATTTTCGCAGACAACCCTATATCAACGTGTTCGCAATTAAACAGCGCTTATGATGATATGAATTTTTTTTAATTATCCAATCCAGTGAAAGTAACTGGCATCGATATACCTGTGTTTACCTGACAACCCAGTAGTTCGCCCAGGTAAATAGTAGACAACCCAACGGCTGCACATTCTATACGTTTTATACTTTCAGTCAGGACAAAAATTTTTTATTATCCTGATGTTGCAACATTTAATTAAAAATCATTTTTCGAAAAATAATTAAAAATAGTCTGCCCAGGATTTTTTTAGCGAACCCATTTTTAATATGTTTTCTAATATACTAAATTCATGATAAATATATTTCGTTCTATTATCAGCTCGGTGAAGGTCGACTTAGGTTCGGATCTTCTACTAATACAATATTATATATTATAGCTATAAGTTTATCCATATGTGTATATATTATTTTCTAATATTGAAATGTTGTTACATGCATTCTTTTCATTTATATAACAATTGCTTGCTAGAAGTTCATCACTATTAAATTAATTGAAGTGGGTGTTTGTACCCTATATCCATTGTCCATCTACTGCTATGATTGATTTGACAGAAAATGTAACCTCTAAAATCGTATCTGACAATCAGGCGCTACTAGGGAAATTGAAAAGACAAAGAGCAGACTATATGTCTTATTCTTTTATTCACTCAAACCATTGTATTATAGAAAATAAAGAAGGACAAAAGTTCAGCTGTGTCCGAACTCTTATCATACTAATACCATCCAGTGACTCTAGTCAAATCTAGTAAAATTATTCAAATATTCGCATAATCTATATCTGACTTGATGGAGTATAATATTATATAGTTTTACTTCCTTTCATATTATCATTGTGTCTTCTTTTATTCCACTGATATTAGTAAAAAAAGGGGTCTCATCTATAACATCACTATCCGAAAGTATAATAAGTGTATTTTCGGGTGTTTGACAGCAATTTAAACGTGAAATGTTTTTCTCCGTGATGTTTTTTTCTCGGTTTTCTCTATTCCTATTGATTTTATAGCCAAAAAAGGTTTGCTGAAATTACACTCTTTATGATGAAATCAACATGAAAAAATTATTTAAAAAATAGATATTTCGTAATCTTAATTGGGGAGGCATTGGAGAAAAAATACAGTGTGTCTCATATCTAATGAAAACATCCCTGAATCTTTTCTAATTAAGAGAGGTACAATTCTGAAATTCGCAGGAGCGAATGATCAGATGGGATTATCGTCAGTGATATACACGATTAGCCAGTAGTTATGGAATCACCGGTATTTTCGAAAAATATATTAGATATTAGATAAATTCTGTACAAATTGAATATCAATTGAATGTCATGATATTTGAAGGAGCAAGAAAGCTACAAAAAATGCAGTCAAGGCACATGATTATATGTATGTACAGTGTGTCCACCTTGAGGACTTACGATCCCTGTAAAATCGTTATTATCTGATCGATTTCGGAAAACTTTTTTTTGTTGAATAGGTATTTGAAATGTCCATCCAACAAGAGAGTGATGTTATCCTTGGACTGTTATCGTGGCCAACTGCGACCAATTTTATTGACCCATATTTCGGAAAGTACTATTAGGGATTTTTTCTCACGCAAAATGATGATGTAATGATGGATTCTGAATCAGAATTATTTGAAACATGCCTGTACCGATTTTCATCATCATAAAGCACATAGAGTCCGAAAAAACGAATTATTATTATTTTTCTAATAGGTGATCAAAAAACGTAGTACTGTGGTATTTTTGGGAAGAACTAACGGCACATTATATTGACGATGACTTCAAACATATCCGTACCAATATTCATCATACAAATATACAATGTGTCTGAGAAAAAATAATCAAAAAGAAAAGCTGGCTATATTTTTCATTCTAAATCAGGATCACATGAAACATACCTGTACCGGTTTTCATCATCATTAAACACAGGGTGTCCGGAAAACCAATTTCATATATTTTTTGAAGTAATAAAAAAATAGTGCATACTTATTTATTGTTTTCAATTCTTTTTTTCTCGGGCACATCGTATATTTGAATGATAAAAATCGGTATAAACATGTTCAAAGTACTCCTCAATAATAATTTGTTTTCATTTCTTTCCAAAAATACGAGAGTGCTATGCATTTTCTAAGCATGTATTAAAAAATGATAATAATTCGATTTTTCGGTCGCAGTTGGCCACGATAACAGTCCAAGAGTGACTTTATACTCTTCTGTTGAATTGACATTTCAAATACCTATCCAACAGAAAAAAGTTTTTCGAATTCGATCAGATAATATCAATTTCAAAGGGCTGGTAAGTTCCTTGAAGTGGACACAGTGTGTATGGACAATTTTATGGAATATGATGAGGAATCTACACCTGAATTTGTTTCTCGCTTGTTCATTTAATGTCTTCAGGTTGTTTTAGGTTTTAATCGGGAAAATCAGATAGGCCATAGTACTCTCGAAAATAAAAAGAAAAGTTCATGTAAACTTGTATGGTTTGGAGCTTAGTATTCGAGATACAGGGTGTTGACGTTAGTAATATTATTTACCTTTTCCCATTATCACCCTGTATAAGCTTTCTTAAATCTCCAAACTATACTTATCATGGCTATTGAATGATCTAAATGAATATCTTGATTCAATATACATTAGAATGTGGGTTCATACCAGGTTTCAATTTTTTTTTAATGAAAATGTTGAAAAAAAGAAAGAAATGAAGAATATAGTTATTTGTTTTACTAGGCAGAAAAGCACAAGATTTAATGCCGCGGCTGGCGTTTTATAGCCAAGGTGTAGCCGAGGCTAGGAAGCCAGCCAAGGCATTAAATCTGCAATTCTGCCGTGTTCACCCAACGTCAGTGTCAATTTTGATTACCAATTTGATTAGAATTATTTCTTGGAATGTTGCAAGCAAACAATTTTTTCTGCCTAGACAGTTAAAGTACCGTTTTTCTGCCTGTTAGGTGTCATCAAAAAGCCACTTTCAATGTCATTTGGAGAAAATTTATTTTTCCTCCGATTGGCAGCAAATATTAATTTTGCTGACACATATCAATCAGCAAAGTATTACTTTTCCTGCCTAGGCAGCAAAGTGGTTACTTTGCTGATTGATATGTATCAGCAAAATTTTGCTGCTACGCTCGGCTATGAATTCAGCCACGGCAGTCAATCTACTACTTTGCTGCCTAGTTAAACAAATAACTATTACTTTGAATATCAATTAGGAAAGGTGAATCTAGTTAGGCTTGAGAAAAACATTTTCATTTCACAAACAAACCTGCGATTAACAAAAAAATCTATTGCCTATTAAATTTTCCCGATTATACAAGGTGTCCCAGAACAACTTTCCATAAATCTCACAGGGTGAACACGAGGCCAAAATAGGCCGATTAAGATCAACTTACCTCTATACGAAAATGCAACGTTGAGCCGTGAGAGGGCAATGAAGAACAATTTTATTTCCAGATTTTTTTCAATATTTCAAAATCCTTAAAGGGTATTGCTCTGAAATTCGTATGGAAATTTACTATAGTAAATGTGCATGGAAAACATGTACTAATTTAATCAATATACAGGATGTTGGGTATTTCGCATTCTCTTTGATAAAAATTATTGTATTTTTCTTTTTTTATAACTGCAGCTTTTTTATAATGTTTTCGAGATGAATAACAAAATGCATTTTGGTGCTTCTCCATACTACTCGTTTATGATGTTAGAATTATCATGTTTTGCTCGTTTCTACCTCATTTGTGTTTAGTTATTGACCACAATTATCATGTTCACCAATTCGCAAGCTCTCCTTCATATGATTTGGGAGCTGGTCATTTCCAAATGTCAGTTCAGGACTTCTGGTAAAAAAACTTTATTCTTAAAAAAAATTGATTTGAAGACCAACAACATTATCATTATGCTAAAGTAAATAGTTCATAAACATGATTATTGTGATCAATAACTCGACACAATTGAGGTAAAAACATGATAATCGCCATAATCATAAACAAATATGGAGTAGTACCAAAATGAATTTTGTTAGATATCTCGAAAACCAAGAAAAATTCTAAAACACTGCGGTTATAAAAAAGTGAGATAATTGATTTTGTCATTTATCGAAATATCGAAATGTGGCTAGTGCGGTACTCCAAACAAATTTACATCAATTTCTATGAAAGAGAATTCTAAATACTTATGTCGAGTATAGTGAGCAGGTCCTCCAGGTGTGCAACCTTTCAGGCCTGTTGGCAACCGGGACACTCTTTGGAAAAGAGGTTGCTGGAGGTTTCTTTTCTGGCACATCCATGCCAAGTAATTACGAAGAAATAAGAAATTGTATGCATACCACTGATTGAAGTGTAACTTATTTATTCACTGTCAAGTGACAGGGATATCAAAATCTACCCACTACTTGTGTTCTTCGCAGAGAAGCATGACTCGACACCTAACTATATTGATTGAATTAGTACGACATGTTTTCTATGCACATCTACTATAGTGGATTCTCCTACGAATTTCACAGCAGTACCTCTCAAGGATTTCGAAATATTGAAGAAAATCTGGAAATAAAATTGTTCTTTATTTACCTCTCACGGCTCAACGGTGCATTTTCGTATAGAGGTAAGTTGATTTCAATCGGCTTATTTTGGTCTCTTTCTCTCCGTGTAGAATTTATGGTACGTTGTTCTGGGACACCTTGTACACTCTACCCAGAGAAATAAAGAGAAAATGATAAATAGAAGGGAGAATGTATAATCATAGTACATATTCTAGTAAGTTCATTAATAACACTCCCACACTATATTTTTACCACCGACTATTCAAATTCTCGCGTTAGGATCATGCCTTGCATATCGAATAATATGTGGATGATTTCAATAAACTTTGACATTTGAGGTCATTTTTACAGGATGCCGAACAAATTAGAGGAGACTTACGTAATCTGGAAATTTTGACTTTCAACAACCCCCAATGGGGTTTGAATGTTGTACAGACTGAAGACAATAATGGATTAGTTAGCGAAACTGATGTAGCTAAAAATATGGTGAGTTGAAAAAGCTGGTTGGTTATGGCACAAGATTATCCAACTCCTTTCATATTTTTGTTGTCTTGAATGACTATTTCGACAAAAGGTGTTGAAGAAAAAATATAGGGCGCAATAAGGTGTTTCATGGTATTATCAGAAATTACACGCCTATGATAGTTGGACTAAGTTAACACGCATTTTCTAAGTGCGATTAATAGTATATTATGTAACAAGTGTTATAAACGTCCTTTTAGTAACCAGTATTTTAAGCACGAGCGGAGCGAGTGTTTAATAAACGAGTGTCTAGAAGAGTTTATAAACGCGTTACATGCTATGCTTTTTCTACGAACTCCGAAAATGACATTAACATACCTGCTATTCCTGCTGACCTACAGAATAATTCGAAAGGAATGGGAATTGAGAACAAAATACATGAAACTGCATGCAACCAGCGAGATACGTATAAGTGATATTGGTTGTATATGTCTCCAAAGTGGTTTGATGTCCCACTAACAGGTGATGATGAACCTAGAATCTCAAAATTTGAGAGAATCTAGGGGAATTTCGTGAATCGATTGTCACCTGATGCAAAGTATACTATTTCGGCTTGCCAAGCCTCATCAGTTGCACTAGGCCAGCTGACAATCAGTTCACCACGGTTACTTCTACAGGGTGCCCGTTTTTCGAGCTCCACCATGGGTATCTCAGTTATTATAAGAGATACGAGGTCGGTTAAATTAGAAAACGGAAATTTGTAATTTTCGTTTTTATTTTTTCAAGCGATGTATCACACGGTTTGATCGAATCTTTCCTGTTGATAAAAATTGGGAAAAACCATTTTTGCGAGAGTGTCTGTCAGATGATATGTTCCCTGACAAGGTAATTTCCAACAACGGAGACATACGTTGGCCAGCGCGGTCACCTGATCTCCGCTGGATTATTATTTATTGGGACGGCACATTTCGCGAGCAATTCAGAATATTACAAAACACGTAGAATTGTGTTTTGAAGTGGAAGGTGGAGTATACACGAAGAATAAACTTCTAGCTCATTACGTCGTTCCTTATTCAAAACCATAGTTTTTAAGTAGATGAGTTTGATGGTTTGACGAAAATGTGAGCGTTCCAGATCCAAATTCAAATAAACTGTCGAAATTCAGCTTGTTAAACAAAACTTTTGGCGTTCTTTCCAAAGCACTCGTCGCAAAAATGTTTTTTTCCCAATTTTGATCAGCAGGAAAGATTTGATCATATCGTGTGATATATCATTTTAATTAGAAGAAAAATGACTTTTCAAGAATGCAGATAAATGTTCAGCATGAAAATGCGCGACTTTGCCCTGATTTAACCGACCTCGTATCTCTTATAATAACTGAGATCCCCATGGTGGAGCTCGAAGAACAGACACCCTGTATATATGCTATAAAACAAATCCCGTAACGGACAGAACGGCGATCTAGCCGTCTCACCTAACCAAACTCGACCTGAATGAACCTTCTTCCTACAAAGAACATTCGTCGGAAAATTACTTGAGCAAACAAAATAAACCACTAACCTAACTCCTAGAAAGTATATTCTTCAGAGAGTTACTTGAGATCAAAATTAAGAAAAGTTGACCTTCACAGGGATCATAGAGCCACCAATGAAAATGGTGTAGCTTGACTCTTGTCTACAAATAGGTGAAAAAGAGGGATAGAAAACAGAATGATGCATAGCCATTGACATGCGGGTATAATTATGAGGATATAAGGCCACGTATATAATTACGCGTATATAAAGCCACGGATACACTATACACTAAATAGGCGTACGCCATCTATTGGAGTATTTGGAAGCTGTCAAAGCGGCCTATTTACTTTCTTTTTATTGGTTCACATTTGTTTTTTGTTTCTGCTTATTGGTCACATCCAACAAAACAAACCGCTCAAAAGTGTTCAAATGTTGCCGTCAGCTGGGGCGACGTGTTATTTTCCATCGCGAATAATAGCCATGAATCGAATGACATGTTACCGAAAAATTAGTTTCAAGGCACTCTTGTTCTCTCTCCTCCCTGTTCCTCAAACATGAAGCGCTCTAGACGTACAGTCGTCTTCAGAAAACATGTCGCATATGGACGATGATAGCATTCTTAATAACTCCTGCAATAAGAGAGCTGACACCGTCCAACCGCGACATGATCTATGAAGACGACTGTACGTCTTTATTGGATAACCTGCGGTACAATTTTTTTTTCGTATCAAACAATTTCCATAAATAATGTTTGAACAAATAACGTGTTGTTGCAGGAACAAGTAGTATTTAATTATGAGAACAAAGTGACAAGCTTGGTGATGCTGAGCCCAGAACTACCATGGAAGTGCACATTTTACAAGTCTTTCTATTTTGCCTTCAGCAGTTTGGTATTTGTTATACTGATATTTGGATCATTATACCTCCTCAATATGGGTTTCAAACAGTATAAGCTTCATGAACAGAAACAGAAAGACGAAATTGGTTTTATGGTAGAGAAGATAATCGATATATTACAGTCGAGTGCCAGTGAAGAAGGAGGTGAAAACTTTGTTGTCATTAATCATGTCAGGGACATGATTCTACCAGTGATTGATCGACAAAGTAAGTACAAGTTTGAAACCTTCAAAGGTTTTGTAGTTTTTCAGTGGAAGGTTTCAGAGTTTCAATTTTTTACCATATCTCAAGAACATTGCAGTACCCTATAATGTATTTGCCACTTTTGTTTCGTCGGTCGGACACTGACAAGCAGTGACAGTCAGACATAACCACAAATAAATACATGAGAAAGAGGGGGAATACATAAGGTTTGCCATTGCAATTATCCAGGCAATTTTGAGTAAACTTATGAACAAAATTACGAAGAACTTTTGCATCGGACAAATAGAAGAGTTAAATGAGAAATTGAAAAATATTAGTAGTCAAGTTGCTATTTATAAGAATGATATATTAATCCAGGCGAACGGTATCAAAATTCCCCCCTCTCCTAGAAAAAAAAAACAATTCATTGTACCTCAATGCAGAGAGGACACGTGCGAAGAAATATAAATTCAAATAAATGATCACATACTCAACAGCTCAGATGATACAACATTTCCAACAATCACCAGTAGTCGGTTTCATGAGCATTCCCTATGTTTATTGGGTTGCTGAATCCGAATCTAGAATTACCCAACAAAATTTGCTGGTGCGTTTTGAGATATTCGCAATTAACAGCGGAATTTTTGCACTTTTTTTATTTCTCGCTTATAATTCGAAAAAGTATGTGTGGTAGAGAAAAAACGAATCACACTTTATTTAAGGAAGATTAAATTTGATCACTTGAAAACTCCGCGATTTTTCCATGAATTCATTCCACTTATGTTCAATATGTAAGATAATTATTGTGAGAAAATATAACTGATAATTGTATAGGGGGAAACCTCTTCCGTCGCCCTTCCCGGATTCTTCTCAGCATTTTTGGTGAATTCATAAATTCAACTTTACTTAGAATCAACAATAATTTAATTTAGTATACCAGAAGCTGATTGGTTGACTGATTTAAATGGACCAATAATTTTCAAATATTGTTGATTCAATCGGATATTTCATGTCTCCAAAGGTATCTCAAGAAAACTTCTTGACAAACGAACACAACGAAAAAACTCGCATGTCATATCAAGCGGAGGAGGATGCTGACTGACTGATTGTTATTTTTTGTGGTCGACCGACTTTGTGTTATACTGTTTTTTTCCTTGAAAAATAGATTTAGTGAAATCGGTCAAGCCGTTTACGATTCATTTAAGGGCATACAGACAAACATTCATTTTTATATATAAAGAAGAAGAAGATGGAAGAAAATGTTTTTCCTTGCATTATGGAATAACTCTGCCAATGCAAATATATAGATATACAGACCGAAAGAGAGTTTAGCGCTCAGCATCGCTTCTAAGTCATTGCACATGCGTCGGAAGCTAGAGTTCTCAACCGATGGCGCAACTTGTACGTTAAAATAATGTATTTGATTTTTTTATAATTGATATTAGGTGCGAATGTTGAGCGTTCCTCGAATATTCGGATGTCACCTGTACCAGGCCTATAAATTAACAGTCAGAATGGCAACTTTCTGGTTACCAAAGAAATGACTTACCCCACTTATTTTAAATTGGCATTTAATCGAAAGAAGTTTTATCTCTAGAATAAATGGCAGTATCACCGTCATTATGCTCAGATCTAGAAAAATGAGAAATGAGTGTAGCCAGAAATAGTAACATATTCCAAATATTTGTTTGTATACCAATGTTCACAAACACAGAAAACGTCAACATGAAAGTAGTTACTTGCTAAAGCAGAATTTTCAATATCGTACATAGCCAAACTCTTTGAAGCTGAGTTTATCTCATAACTAAATTATTTCGTTCTCACCATTTTAGAAAAAAGAAACACGTGGGCGAAAGCTGTCAAATTCATCAATGAGAATGAATCCAGAGTAAGAACTGAAGTTCAAGAGGTGAAAGGTGAACCATTCGAGGTGTGGAGGTGGATAGGATCTGCAAATATCAGTGTAGGCTGGTAAGTATGTCCATCAACTTATATGACAATACACTATACACTTATAGAACATTAACTGGAAGTCTGTGAATCGTCATATATCTTGGGAACCATACATCAGATCTTTTCAAATTCACAGGGTGATTACATTATATGAATAATTGAACATTGATAACCTTTGTCGCCACATTTTACATTTGTTTGGAATTCATTAGTTGAAATACTGTCTGTAGGTTAATCGAGGAGGTGGAACATTCATACAATAGTTTCTTTATTTAGAATTGTTCATTCCATATTTCGTAGGAAATTTCAATATGAATACAAAGATACACAATCAAGGTCTGCACGACACTGCGAAAATATGGACATTGGTTATAATTGATTTAAAATATTATTAAAAAATGTTAGTTTCGGAAAAACCTCTGACTAAAGTTTTCCAATTGTGTCCTGTGCCAGAAATTATTGTACACTACACACTGTTTTACCACTAACCAAACCGATTTTTTACACCTCGACACGTGTTTTTCTATGTTAGCATCTTCAGGAGGAGATTAAAACTGTTTTAATCTTCTCCTGAAGATGCTAACAAAGTTAGCGAATCACGTGTCAAGGAGTAAAAAATGGGTTTGGTTAGTTATCATTTCCTATATTCTTCATAGTGTGAAGACATCAAATTCAAACTTGTTGCTCTAAACTTGAAATGTTGTCATGAAAGGTATAACAAAGAAGATTGACAGCCAAGGTTTCTCCTTGATGTAGGTGCTGATTTGTTCAGATGTGATACTTCGTTTAATCCGGTATAAGTATAATCATACTTTTCGTTAGACAGCAAAATCGTCTTCAGTATCATTTTCTCCATAAGTTTTCTTGTTATGTGTGTACTTTGAGTACCTTTTAATAGTTACTGATTTGAAATCCTCCTCTTTCTTTTTGAGATCAGTCTCCAAGTGAATTAGCTCAAACATTTTGTTAGCTTATACAGCTAGCAGATTGTTTTGTGGAGCTGTTGTTCTGAATCTTCATCATTTTCTGACTTTGCAATATTTCCTGAACAATAAGGTCATCATTTCTTCGCTCGATGCTAGCAGGAACGCTCAAAAAGTTTTCCTGGCGAATTCTCATTGTTATTTTTGCAAATGGGGGTTGAATGAATCACAACTATTTATTAACAAAACAATCATGTTTTTTCCCTTCTATATAGAGCCAAACGACTGACATAAAGATAGGAAGGTAAAGACTATGTCAAAATGCCCTTGCCGAATAATTATGATGGTAAATGACCATCAGAAATATTCTTGATTTATCTGACATTACTAGAGAATGGATACATAAGTCGTATCTTATCACGGTGGCTGTCCTCAAACTCAACTTTGTTTTTCATATTAAGAAATATGGATTTAAATAATTTTTTAAATAATCTACTGCTCTGAGGGGAAAACGGTTTGTGATTGTGAACTAGTGTGGGGATAGAACTTCAAAATAATGAAACAGACCACTTCATCGTGTATCAATGACAGGGATGTGTTATATTGCACCGTCGTGGCAGCACAAGTGTAGTTGTGGGTAATCTGTCATCAACATGACATGGAAATTATATAAATAATAATCAGGATACGATCCAAATTTTCTCAAGGTCCCACATAACATGGGTCATGCCCTTATCTGGTAAACTAGAATAGATACACAGAAAATTGAGAATCGAAGTTGTTTATTGTCATATGAATTTCCTTTTTTCAGATAATGTCTACTATACAGGATGCTCCATATGCCTGTGACATATCAAACATACGTTTTTTCAAATGGAATGCCCTGAATTCCATTCCTTTCTTGGATAGAGCTCAAAAGGACTAGTTCAATGATATATGATAACATCGTTCTGAGATCACCCATTTCGGACTTATCCATGATCTTCTTTAATAAATAGTCAAATTTCGAAGCCCTATAGAAATGTTGAGAATCAAGTTTTCCATGCGCAGTTTTCGTAATGAATCAAGAAATTCTATTTTCTTGACATTTCGTCAATATCTAGAAATTTTTAATCACCTAAAAGTGATGACGTATTAATCATTTTCTCGAAATTTTCAAGATAACATGGGTCTGAGAACACCCGTTCCGGACTTATCCATGATCTTCATCAATAAGTAGTAAAACATTTCGAAATCATCTAATACGTGGTGCTGGATTAAGTGAATGAGAGCAATGAACCTATTCCATGAAGCTCTCTGTGTAGTTTAGTGATTTGGGATTAGGATTTACATGCGAACCATGACAGACATTGACTGCGCGGTAAGTGCCTTTCAAGGCAATGTAAATATTCCTAGTATCATACCTAGTATTTAAACAGCCTTCTAGAATAGGATATTTAGTTTTTATCATCTCCTAGCATAGTAAGCGAAACACGTCTCGAGGCGTTAAAAAATCGGTTTGGTTAGTGGTAAAACGGAAGTGTGATGAGGATAACAGACATAATTTTGGATTTTTGAAATTAAACTAATCATTTAAAAGTTGATCAACGATGGTGTTAGAGGGCCTAGAATGTTGATTATTTTTCGAAGAATAGCGTGAATAAGTCAGAAAAGGGGAAATGAAATTGAGGCTGTTTCTTTCTGAAATTTCGAGAAAATGATCAGTTTTCGAAATACAGCATCACTTTGGCTCATTCAGGATATCTAAATTTTGATCTACGATGAAGAGAACATACAGAATTTGTTGATTTATACCAAAGAACGCGCACGGAGAACTTAATCCAGCACGTTTTTAGAGGGTCTTGAAATATGACTACTTATTGAAGAAGATCAAAGATAAGTCCGAAACTGGTGATCTCAGACCCACGTTATCACACATTGAACTCGTCATTCTGAGCTCTATCCAAAGATAAAATGAAATGTAGGGTGTTCCATTTAGAAATTTCGAGAAAATGATACGTCATTACTCTTGGCATATTCAAAATTTCTAAATATTGACGAAATATCAAGATAAAACATAGAATTTGTTGATTTATGACGAAAATTACGCATCGAAAACTAGATATTCAACGTTTCTAATGGGCTTTGAAATTTGGACGTTTATTGAAGGAGATTATGCACAAGTCCAAAACGGGTGATCTCACACCCAAGCAGGAAATGAAATTAAGTATATTCCATTTGAAAAAACGCGTGTTTGGTATGTCACAGGCATATCGACCATCCTGTATAGTTTCCTTTATCTATGAATGAAACTTCACATGACTATGAACAACTTCGATTCTCAATTTTGTTTTTATCTCTTCTAGTTTACCAGATAAGGGGGGTGGCCCATGTATGTGAGATACCTTGTACACAAATGCACAATATAACGTTGTGTTAAAAAGGATTATTGATGAATTTTGGTGAAACAAAGATTGACACCTGACATGACCTCTAACCCCACTAGTGTCAGTAGCTTCAAACTTCCCAAATTAACTGTCGTTTAATATACAACAATAATATCACAGCATTGTAATATTATCGGAATGGCTGATCTTTCGAACGTTACATGAATATTGAACAACCCTGATGTGTATCCCTGCAGCTAATAGATAATTTTAAAAATTAACAACCTTCTGGAGACTCTATTCACTCCCCCAGTCTTTTGTAAATTCACATAATATTGAGGTTGGTAATTTTTAATATTATCTATTTTGCAGGGACCGCTCCGAATTTAACTATCGCCATGGAAGAAGAATAATTGATGTAGAATACTTTCTCTCAGAAGTACTGAAGTTCCCGCACAAACGCCTGAGATTGTGCAACAATTCCGACGTAAAACTGAAACATGAAGTGCGAGAAGGTTTCGTTTCCGTGTTTGTATTGCACTGTCAGAAATGCCAAAACGAGTACTCCGTATGTAGCGAAGATCCTAATTCCGAGTTGATGAACGCTAATTTAGCTCTCGTAGCTGGAATAGTGAGTTTGGGATTGGGATTGTATCAGTTGAACGAACTATGTAGCTCCCTACATATTCCAGCCATCTCCGGAGAAAACTATAACCAATACTTGGAAGAGATTTGTGAAATATATAATGAAACGGAGGGGGAAGTGAGTGAAGGCGTGGTATTCGATAAAATACTAGTACGTACATCAACACCCAAGAGCCAAGAAACAGTCGAACATAGAACTAGGAAAGATATGTTCTTGAAGGATCTTGCTAAAACTCCCGAAGAAATCGAGAAACTTTCAAAACTAACATTGGATCAGGGAGCGAATCCATTGTGGTTCGAAGAAAGAAAAAAGCGTCTGACAGCTTCTAATTTCGGGAGAATTTGCAAACTCCTAGAATCGACAGATCGGAAAAAAGTTGCCCAAGAATTATTGCACTCGAGTTTCATGGGAAACATTTACACTAGATATGGAAATGACAATGAAGAAAACGCCATCCGAGACTTTCAACTATTGACAGGGAAAAAAGTTATTAACTGTGGACTCTTCATAGATCGGAATCATCCATTTTTAGCTGCTTCCCCAGATGGTCTGATTGATACAGATGCCATTGTTGAGGTCAAGTGTCCGTATAAAGCCAAAGATGTCACACCTGAGGAAGGCATCAAACAGAAATTGATTCAGTTCGCCACCTTTGAAAACGGGGTATTTTCGCTGAAAAGAACTGATAAGTATTATTATCAAGTGCAAGGTCAACTTTTTGTAACAGGCAGAAGCATTTGTTATTTCATTGTCTGGACCCAGTTTGGATTGCTTTATGAACAAATTACGAAGGATGAAGGTCTTTGGAACGAAATGTTTCCTAAATTGAAAGAGTTTTACTTCCAGCATTTGTTACCTACCATTCTTGAAAAATGTTGATATTCTATTAATGTTTATTGTGAACATTATATGGGCTCATTCGGCAAGGATCTGAAACATATGATATTGAATATCTAGTCACAATGAATATAAGTGTGTCAAAATATCGAGCTGGTCCGGGGTGTCCATATTCGAATCGAGATTATAGGAACTCTATTTAGATATGTCTTGCTAAAACCGTTAATTCTTAACAACAGCAACATGAATATTGTATGCCAAGTAAATAGTACATGTTGTTAATGAATATAGTTCGAGCTTTGAAAACACGAAATACGATTCACTCCCATTCAGAGATAAAAATTAACAAATAAGTCTTCTGGTCTTTAGACATTCTATATAAGAGTTTCAGTATCTTCATTATGTTTATATGTTTATATAACATGCAAAATACACCAAATATTGTTGCATAACTATACATATAGTATTAGGTCGGCAGTTAAATATTTAAGTTATATTTGAATGAATGAATTCAAAGCATTGCAGAGTATTATTTTATTTTGATACAAATATAATACATATATACAAATATAATTATTCTGTATACATTTCAAGCCTTCATATGTATTTTTTACATACTTAAAGTTGAGTATTCCTGCTCGCTCATATTTCCCTTCGTATATTTAAGAGATTCACAAGTCATATGCATTCTGGTGATTGATGATTTCCATGAGAAACGTCAAGTTCATAATATAATATACGATGATAAATGCGAACAAGATCAGGAATAGGTACACCTAATATATTTTATTTCATGTTATAAAAATGTTATAATCTTGCACATTTTAAACATGTTCTTTTACATAAAATGTTCTATATTTCCTAATAAACTAATCGTTCAGAAAATTTGTAGTGTGTGATTTATGAAAAATTTCGATTACCAGGGAGATTTGATGTGTCTCAATTTCATAAAATCGTTAAAGTAATAGGTCATATCAAAGCTTATTTTATAGTGAATCGTCATTTCTAGAAAAAAGCTACTTTTCATCTGAAATGCATAAGTTTTATTTAAAATGTAAGTATGCACACTTTACTGATTCCTGTCAATTTTTATAGACTGTTGATGCCTCTTTGTTTGTTTTGCTTAACCTGCTGAGCATGGAAAACCTTGAAAACAAAATCAACTTTGATAGGTTGAGCTACACTATCAACTAGGTCCAAATTGTACCTGATGAAGGAAGGAAGAAATCCCACTGTTTTGTTTTTTCTTCTACAGTTCCTAGATAGAGAGTGGTATAGCTGATATGAAGTCTCATTTTACTTGTATGGAAATTGTTGTTGCCTACAATAAATATGTGTTCCTTCCTCAGGAAACATTTTTAAAAAACATTGCTTTATGTCATTGAGAGATGAAAAGTATTTTCATTCGATATTATCAGATTAAATGATGAAGGAAATCTATACTAACATTATAATAGAGAGGAAAGATTTGTTTGTTTGTATTGAATATGCTCCGAAACTACTGGACTGATTTGAAATATTCTTTTACCATTAGAACATTATCCCTGGTGAACATAGGCTACTTTTTACCGGGGGAAAATGCTGCATTCCTACGGGTGAACGGGTAATAGTACAACAGGTAGTACTTACTTTTTCACATAACTTCTAAACGGCTGAACCGATTGGGATGAACATTTTTATTTGTGTTTTGATGGTTTCCTGAGTGATTTAAATGTACAATTGGACGAGGTATGTGGCGCTGCTGTCGGTAAGTCATTTACTAAACGGCTTGAACGATTGAATGTTATTAGTTCTTTGTAATACTTTCCTAGGCAAACAATTCTAAATATGCATTTCCATATACACACGAGTTTTGGTAGAGAGTTGTTCGACATATCTCGAGGTTGACGACCATAGGATGATGCTGATAAAGCTTATCAAGTTCATCTGGCTGGTATTGCTAGTGATGGAATGATAGCTGCGATTTCTGAAGATCATAAAGCCTCGGCTATCAATTTGTAGACTCGACTATAATAGACAGTTTTTCATCCTTGGTACATAAATAACTATCGAAAACTTCATCATTTTGTGTTCACCCAATGTCTGTGTCAATGTCGATTGCCATTTTCATTCAAATAACTTCTTTTTCAAAAACTACCCCAAATCTCTGAAATCTTGTACCCTTTCTAGTCTAGTTTTATTCACTCACTACTCTGAATCAGTGGGATTAGTTTTTCCAGTGAATGAAGAGGTTGGCGTTTATTTTCATTCAGTAATTGGTCTTTTGACCTGCAGAACGAGATGAGTCTATCAAGGTCTTGTTGTGGTAAAATTTTGTCATTTTCGTCTGATTATTTTATATAGCGTCAAATCATCAGCATACAATGAGAACTAAGATGTTGTTATGTCATTCACAAAAAAGATTGAAAGTAATGGACACAGAATAGATCTCTGGGGTACTTCCTGATAATGCAATAAAGTTATCCGATCGATGTTTATTGAATTGAACAAATTGAGTTCTGTTATATAGATATGATTGCAGAAATGATATCAAATCTTCATTGATTGAGAATTTATTTAGTTTATTGAGTTATGTTTTGTGATTGACTTCATCGAAAGCCTTAGCTATATCTGTATAGATGCCATCTATCGGCTTGCATGGGTCGATAGCAGATGGTACATCTTTACTAAAGATCATTAAATTAGTGACAACTGATTTTTGCTTACAACCCCATGTTGCTCTGGTGCAATAAGGTGCTGTAAATGTCTATAGAGCTTGTTGTGAATCACTTATTCAAAAACTTTTGAGGAATCCGGAATTATTGTGGCAGGCCTATGATTGATTATCTCTTTGGGAGTTCCAGATTTATGAATTGGTATAATTCGTATTATTTTATTCAGAATTGTAATTCAGAAGTATAACTTGAAATTCAGATTTGTCAATTGTAATTATTCAGGAAGCGTCATATACAGGGTGCTTCGAAATTCGACCAACAACGCTTAACAGGTGATAGCCCTCCTGACCCGAAATAGAAGCTTGCATAGTAATTTTCCATTATTCATATTTATCTAAAATAAATAGTTATTTCATGCAGAAAGCAAAACAAAAATTTTTGTAATTTTCTACCACTGAAAATTATGGAAAATTACAATGCAAGCTTCTATTTTGGGTCAAATATCTCGAAAACTTCATTTCAGCTCAGTTTTAGGTGATGTATTTTTTGAACAGAATTAGATAATTAATTCGAGTAATTGAAATTAATCGAAATATCATCAGTGGCGTAGAGAATATCGGAGGAAAAGCTATCACAACCCCCTGTAGCGCACCACTGGATAAAATGTTCGGAATGAATTTCTGGTTAAAAAAATGCCCATTTAAAGATTAAACCAAACGAATTTGGATATAAACTATTCACTCATTCTTGAGTTATTGCGAAAAAACTTATTATTTCCCAACCCTAACACCCTGTATCTCGAGAACTGAACACTTGAAGACCGTTATTCCCTATCTCAGGAATTATGAAATCATGAGAGCTATCACCTGTCAAGCGTTGTCGGTCGAATTTCGAAACACCTTATACTATAATTCAGATTAGGCAATTGTAATTCATAAGGTATCAACTGTAATTCCGAAATAAGCAACAATGGGGAAGATTCTTCGGATGGATTTTCATGAGATAAGTTCGCTATACTATGTCCACGCTGTACAGAATGGCGATCCATAAAGTCCAAGTCGTTTTCATTTCCAGAATAAAGAAATTTCTAATTTTCGAGGCGGCAAACTGTGATGTAAGTTCTGAATGTAGGTATTTGAATATTTTGGCATCATTTTATTGGCTCCCGCGAGAATATGAGAGCGTTACAAATCCAAACTGCTCGCGCACTGGCGTCACACGTTGCGATGCCATGTCTGATCGTTTGAATTCGTTCATTCCTTTTGGCATTTTCAATAATTTTGTATACGATGAATTGATGAAAAAAAATCTCGAAAAATCATTTCAAGGTATTCCAGTTTTCTAGAAATTACTGGAAAGGTCCATTAATTTTTGTGATATCATACAGTTATTTTTATTCAACGGTACAGCCTCCATCCGTTAATATTGTTCAACGGCCGGCGGCCGTTATAATATTATTGTGATATTGTTCCATGACAACAAGATGTTGGGATTTTCCTGTAGAAATACGAGATATGTGGTTTATTCTTTCCTCGGAATCAAAATTTAACCTTTCAGCGGGATTACGAAAAGTCTTGAACGACACACGGCCGATACGGATTCGGTTGTTGTAATATTCAACATCATCCGTTATTTGCTATTACTATTATCGACTATTACTTACCTCGAAGTGGAATGGAAGATAAAAAGCACTTATCAACATCAACAGTGCACCTGCGTCCGGGGAAAAACACACTTTTCTCCCGTGGGAAGAATCAATTTCATAAAAAGTTACCTTTTGTAACCTGTCAACAGGGATGAAATGCCAAACTTTTTTATTCGTCACAGGAAATAGTTATTTATGTAACAAGTGTGTAAAGTGTGTGAAAGTACTTTATTTTACAAGTAGGAAACGTTGACGCATGACGCTGAAAGAGGGGAATGTGGCAATTCCTATGAGCAAAAACACAATACGCACGTTTTACATACAATATTTTTCCTACAACTGTCAAAAAAGAGGACAACCTCATTCAACTTATGATGACGATTAAAAGATATTTCGTAATTATCATCAAGTACATTTACTCATTTCATGTCACTTTATTGATAACACTTGGTTTCAAAGGACAAAATAGCCAGAGTCACCCTCAGCTAATTTGAATAAAACGCTCATTCCGCTCGCGTTCAGGCGAGGATATAGTGGCGCCTTATTCCCGCTCCCATCTCTTGATTTTTTCGCTTGCTGCCTTGCCAAATCCCGTAGAGGAGCCTATAGACCTTCGTTGTTGGTGGGCTGTTCTGTTCGTCGAACAAGTATGTTCGAACAAAGGTGACGAAGAACTGAAGTGTGTGGTGTGTGGTGTGTGGGTAGCGAAAACGACCATTTTGCAGCCACACCCTATGGTTTTGCCTCCTTTTAGCTCGAACAGACTTGTTCGTCGAACAAAACCGCTTACCAACAACGCAGTGTATGGGTCGCTTTCGCGCAAGCATTCATCCATCGCCATCCGTAAAATAATGAAAGAGTATTTGAAAGTCGTAGAAAAATAATTATTATTGCGTATTCCACTCGTCGCACTAGCTCGAACTTTTTCGCACTGAGCGCATTTTGCGTGGTCCACTGAGAATTTCAAGAGCGAACTTTCGTCGAGAAATAATTTCCACTGCCTTTCAAACTTGCTCGATGCTAGCTCAAATTTCGAGTTTCGAGATCAAATTTGAATAACCATTGAAGTTTATCACAATTTTCCGAAATCATAGATTCTTCGCATACAAGCGATGATGAAGAAATTATGATTGAGACACAGAAGTACACTTTATTGTTACGAAACAGCGTTTACGGAAGATTCAAAATTAGCTAAAAGTTAAAGAAAGCTATTCAGATGTGCAGGTAAATTCGATTTTTGATTCAGTAATGATGAAAAATATTTACTTCATTCATTTTACAATGAACATTCATAAGACTGTTTCTGGCAGTGTTCACAGAGAAACCACAAGAGGTGGATGAATCCATTTTATGTGGACCAGCGAAACCAAAAATGTACTTTCAATATTTCAACTTTTTGATTGATTCCACTGCTCTGTGCTGGAACTGCACTTTACGGAAAAACTGAGCCAGTGCCACTCTGTAAGGTGACCAGAGTAGTGCCAGAACGGCGAATGTGGGTACTACTCTATGGGCCATTGGCAGATTGCTTGCATCGTTTAGTAATGGTGTTTATGTTCATTATTTCGTTTTGAGTTTTCAA